GCATCATAATACAGGAGAATTTGAAAGAAGTATATTAATAAACTTAACTGATGATCTTGAAATTAGATAGCTTTGAGATTAAAGTTCAATCAGTACTTGTACTTGATTGATGATTCCTTGAGATTTTGATCTTATGCCATTAAAATTATCAAATAAGATTTTTTTTCTGTTTTCTAATGCTTGAATGATATTTGATTGTAAAAAAATAGCATGATTTGATATAGATGTTGAAGAAGCTTGAATCATCTCTATATCTTCACTTTTTAGCAATCTATTGCTCTTTGTAGTAATAAATTGAATTGATGATTAGCAAGTATTAATATCCTCAATTGCTCTTACATTTGGGCTATTGCACTCTTCATTTCAGCAAGCTCTTCTATCATTACACAATAGAAAAGAAAATGTTTAATATTTCTTTAGATAAATAGAAGAGATAGCTAGGAAACAATAGAAATTTTAAGAATAATATCAATTTAAAAGTACATAATTTGCAACTTCTAATACACTTATGCCTTATTATAAAAAAAATAATAATAAAAAAAAAAACATTCTTAATGAATAAGAGACAATGCTTTGATATTGTAAGTATAAACTTATCAATTTATCAAGGAAAAAAATTCAATGAAGGCAAATAAATAAGTAATATTTTTCTAAAAGAAAGATTAAAAATATATATATATATATATATATATATATATATTCAAAAGAAACTACAATGGCTATTTCCAAAAGATAAGAAAACTAAAAATCCTTGAAATTAGACTAAAACTAAGAAAAGAATTAGGAAGATTGAAGAAGGCTTTACTCTTGTATCTATATATACTATCTATCTAAGAGCTACGTGGCGATGTTCTATAGAACCTCTAATACGTGTCCAATTTGTGAGACACATATTTTAACTTGTAAAACAACTTCCGCATGTGTATGCCACATTGTTAGCTTGTATCACAAGCTACCAATACATGCAACACGTGGCTAACTTGTTGGCCAAGTTTCTAATCTATTAATCACTTATTGACATGTATAAAAATAAAACCACATCTATGGAAGTTCTAGGAAGCTTTTCTAAAAATATTATGAAATTAATCTATTTTTATTTACTTCTACATATTCATATTGTCTAAACAACTATTAGAGTAAATATGTATGTCTATAACACTTATTGTCATTAATATTCTTAGCTATAGTAATAAGAGATAATTTTTTTTATTATTTAATATATATTTTTTTAAAAAAATTACATCCATAGTTTGCTATTATACCTATAAATATCAAGTTTTTTTTTTACTTCATTTATGTGAAAAATATTTTAGATTTAATGATTCTTTTCTTTATATGTAAATGTAATAGATCTTTCTCTAGCTATAAGATGCTAGTGGTTGTCAATTGATTTTATCTTGGTGATATGGGATATAATTATAAGCTTTCAAAAATGTGTCATTTCTAATAACATGTATTGATGTTGTACTATCAAGGTACCAAAAATTATCTCTCTCTTTTAAGTTCATGGCTAGTATTGCAATATCAAAAAAGAATTGTTCACTTTTCTCTTACATATATATATTTTTTTGATTTTGGTTTCTTTTCTACTATTTCTATATTTTTTTATGGATTTATTCTTTATCCTGGTTAATGGAAGCAAGTGCATTTGTATGCTTAATGATCCCACTACTTGTAATTATTACACCTTTCATTTTTCTTAATAGATTTTTTAATTAATTCAAAAGAGTATCTTAAATCGAAATATGTTAATCGATTTCTTTATACATCTTTTGTATTGTATCTTCTTTCAAAAAATAATTCTTTGCTATTTCAAAAAAATAGTGTCTCATTATGATGTATTCTTTAGCTTAAACATCTTGATTCTTTAATAAGAGTCTTCTTTATAAGCTTCTCAAAGTTGGAGAATTTGTCTAAGACAATAAGACCTTAGACAAGACTATCATATGCTTGGAATAAACCATTTAATGTAATATTAACAAGTCTCAATTTATATCCTTCTTTTCTAATTGATTATAATTATATTGTGATTTCACTAATCTTTTGGATGAAGTTTGTGACTAAGCTTGTTTTATCCATTGTGGTAGAATGCAATTGATTAAATAATAGCATCATTTGTGCCACATTTTTGTTGTCAAATAGATCATGTAAAAATTGCCATAGTTGTATTGGATCATCAATGTTGGCAATGTAGTAGATAATATTGTCTTTTACAAATATTATCAACATGGATAGCACCTTATATTTATCATGTTGTTCATGTTGTAATGTTGTGGTACTCATCAAATGAATATCTTTGACCATTTTGATTATGGTGTGCAACAAAGTGTCTTGCAACAAAAACAACATATCAAACTTTGCATCTCATAAGAAGTATGTGCATTTTTACCTTTTGTATTGAGAAATTGTTGGCACCTTCCAACTTACGTAGTTTGGCCATTGGCAAGGTCAAATTCATGTTTGTGGTGCTCAAAATAAGAACAACTATCTTCCTTGCCTCAAAGTTGCCAACTTTTGGACCATGAGAGTGCTGAAAGATTTGATATTTGGCACATTTAGGATTATCAAGTGCTGCAGATTATTGAATTGCCATAGTGTGATTTCTTTGTCTTGTACTCTTCCTGTTGGTTCAAGGATGTGAAAATGATTGTATGATGGTGGTCATTCAATTCACTTTGTGGTTGTGGAAGTTACTAATTCTTCAAAGTTAGTATTGTGACAAGTGCTGCAATTGATGTGTTGCCAAAAACTACAACCTTCTCTCTTGTATCATGAAATTAGAATTAAATTAAAAGTAAAAGTTTCAGTCTGAACTTAGATATGATGAAGTAACTACAAAATACAGCCTCTGATAGAGGTAAAAACAATGCTCACAACATTCTCAGGCTCGTCCTTCAGGCTAGCAGAAGACATTTCATTTGCTCAGATTAGTGATCTCAACCTCATTTTATCTCTCATGTGCAACAGTGCAATCTCCCAACATTGCTGTTGATCAGAGTTAGAGATAAATCATGCTGGAGAGGCAGTGCTTTTTACAACCTATTCCTTCATCAAATCAAGATCCAATATCTACAACACTCAAGAGGATGTGCTTATCTTTCTTCTTCCAAATCATTGGATAAGAAAGGACACCTGTACCCAGAAAGTTGTAGCAATACGACAAGTGATAAACCAGAGATTATCCTGTAGAGAATTTTCACTATGGTTGAAGTGATGTTTGAAGAGAAATCCATTGGTGGTTGATGATTTGACTTGGCTATTCACATGGTACCGTTGTTTGCAAAATGATCTGTATACATTGATCATTTTGGTGTGGTGGTTTTAAATCTTGTTGGAGGTACAAGCTATTAATTTCGTACAATTTTCAATCTATTTTTAAAAATTACTATATTTGGCAGTAGGAAAGTATTCACCTTCAAACACCATTGTTGTTGTTGAGTGTGGGACAAAAAATAAGATGTATAACATCACCTAAAAGGTAGTTTTACACGTTTCCCCATAATTACATAACAATTTAAAAATCTTATCCATTAAAATAGAAGAAGAGTACAGTCAGCCATAGTTGCATATTATTAAATATTTGAGGAGTGGTCTTCATTCATGTTTTACAAAAAGAAGAGGAAAAAGGTGTAATTTTTAATTTTTCTAATTTTAATTTAATTCTAACGTGTACTTACGTAATCCCATAACTCATCTCCCTGTTCAAAATAACCACATTTCAGGGTGAAAATTAAGATGGATGCGTGTGCCTTGCAAATAAGGAACCAGGCGGAGAAACGAAAAGTGGACAGAGTGGTTCCACACGGGGTGGATGAATGAAAAATTCCATGACACAGGACAGAAGGGAGGGCTTCCAGCGACGTTGGTCAGTGCAATCGCAGAAAGCTCCAGAATGTTCTTCCTCATGATTCACCAGACAAATGATTGGGCAAATATCTCCATAAATATCTGCTCCAAAGGTCGTTACTAATTCGCCACGTGGCGAAAACAGCCCGCCAGGGTGTACATAAATTTGCGTGACGTGGATCCCCCTTAGCTCAATCCCTCATTGGAAGAAGTCCCATCCCCCCGCTAGGACTTCTCAGCCAGTACTTCTACTGCTTTCTTTGGCTTCGTTTCATTTCACTTGGATGGGAGAATCACATCCAGTCAGATTAATTCCATGTGTAGGGAAGAGCTGACGTGGCCGATTTCAAAAAGAGATTCAGCACGAGTTTCCGTACCCGTCCCAACTTCAGATCTTTGCGGGGGAGCAGAACTTCCTTTAAAGAAAAATTTAAATCAACGCAGAAGTGAAGTTGCGCAAGCAACTTTAAAGTCCAGATGCTAAGTTCAGTGGGGGGCGACAGGCGTGGTCGGATCCGAGCCTCAGAAATGTCTAGGGTCTCGCCACATCGCATAGTCATCGACGATTCGGAATAGCACTTTTGGGGTCGTCTCGTGGGAACGCGGAATGCTGATGGGGTGCCACTCTCACTGGTTTAGATATTTGAGCCGTGGTAGGGTCCAGGACAACGCGGTATCTTCCTGTCCTGGTCAGATTCTCAGTGGTGCATCACCTGTATACCATACGAAGCCCGTATCTGTAATACTGTAGTATTTCCTGGACGTACTGTAGCATTGTGTGCAAATAAAGGAGCATCTACCATGATTTTCAAAGTTCAAACAAGCATTCTATTCGGTCGAAGTGTGCTGATGGGTGTATAGTGGCGTGTGGGGAACACACATTGGACACATCAGTTCATGGAAACGAATACATACATATGCGTACATACGAACCAAGTGGGCACGAACATCTATGCTTTGGTGACGAGTGCTTTGACCGTCAGATGGATTCGCATCTAAAGTTCGGGAATCATCGGATGTCGAATCCGCAAATTCGTAAGATTCGTGGCTGTCTCATATGCTTACATCCATCGATGTGTGAAATATCCAGGCCTTTCTAGAATGCTTGTTATCCATCTTGAAAATTCCTAGATAATCCTTTCCCAAGGTGTAGCGCTTTTTCCTATCTGACACTCCAAGACAAGTTGCACTTTTCAAAGCTACGCCCTCCCCCTCCACCCTCCCACACTTCGATCGGCGTCTTCAATCTACGCCTCGTCTGTGCAATCTAGCCTTTCTACTCTCCCACCAGCTTTCTCGACGACGACGACGACTACGACTACCCCAAGCTTCTCACTCACCGATCGGAAAGGGTATGGCTATGGCGGCTGTCTGATGAGCCTGGTCTTGCTTCGTATGGTTGTGAAATGAGATGCCTCGGGGATTTTTGAAGCCGACCAAGTGCCGAAAAGGATTGTGAGGTCTGAGAGGTAGAGTGAGAGTTTTTGAGGTCAGATGACTCTTAGCGGTTGTAGTTGGTGTTGGTCTCTGAGTTGTGGTGCTTGGTGTGGGTTTTTTGGGGAGTTTTTTTTATGAGGTTGGCGAGTGAGGTTGAGGATGATGTGTTGCGGAAGAGGATTGAGGCTTCAAGGAATGGATCGAGGGACATGTAGCCGTGTGAGGAGTGTAGCTAGGGTGAGGAGCATTGTCATGACTGTAGTGGGGAGTGATGTGGATTTTTGTGATATGATAGTGCTTGAGTGATATATATATATATATATATATATATATATATAACGATAATGGCAATATTTGTAAGATTGTTCTCGGTGTAGATTAGGTTGCCCATGTGTGTTCACTATGGAGGAAGTGATTTAGGTGACGGAGAAGAATAAATGCACGATGCGGAATTGAAGAATGTGAGGTGTGGCATTGGTAGTTCCGTGGTCTGTCTTGGCTGGGTAGGCGTCGATGTAGTATTTTAGGGCTAAGGGTTTGGTGGTTGTAGTTGGACATGGAATCGAGGGTGAAGCCCGCGAAGTGGAGAATAACGGGGATACTTAACACTGTGTTGGGTGTGCCTAGGTGCTAGATCGTGAGGAAGTTTTTTTGGGGTAGAGAAAGCATTGACAGGGTTTTAACAAGTATGGAAGACTCTAGCTCCGACTCACCACCAGCCAGGGCGTTTAATGGCATGTCTGTGTTTCCCTTGACGGAGATGGTAATTGATGGGACGTCGGAGGTTTGGCCAACCTTTGGACGACCTATTTCTGTTTCCGCAGTCCTGAAGATGGATCGACATGGGTCATTTGTGGAATTTTCTCGGATTCCGCCACCAGGAGCTGAGGTCGAGAAGGTGGAGCTCTTCACAAGGTGCTATTTGCATTTGTCGCAGGTGGGTCCAACTGTACTACCTGCTGATGATTTTACTACTTGAAATAAAATTTTGTGATTTGAAGTATGCATTTGTTTTGTTTTGGGTGCGGCAGTCCAGTAGAGCTTTGAACATGCTCATGACTTGATACAAGTAGCGCTTAACACTTTGTATATTTTCTCGTTCCTTCCAACACCCGTTCTAGCGCCGTTATCTCGGTTTGTGCAGCAAAATATTTCTGATTGGTCAGCTACTTCTTGGTTGTCTAGAGACAGGTTAAGGCAATGTATTTCGAGAGGAATATGTTGACCCGGCATTAGTTAATGGATGTCAGAAGAAACGATTGTATGCTCAATTCATAGACCCTCACTTTTTCTTTAGAAAAAACCCATCGTCTTTGACATCAGAGGATTATGGTACTGACTGGTGTTATGCTTACTTCAGCAAGCAAGTTTGAGATAGTGGTTTATGTTGCTGACTGGCCGTGTATTCTTAGGTCATGAAAGCAGGGCCGAAGCTTCAGATGTGGACTGTTAATGACTCAGAGGATACCGACGGACCTTCCAAGGTATGATTGCACTGTGGTCATTTCGAATACGGTGTTCGATTGCAGCTTCCTCACTTTAATCATTTGATTAAATCTTTTCAGTATGGTTTGAGTATGGATCTTGTTTCAAATTCAGTTATCTCTTGTTACCTTCATACTTCACTGCAGGTTATGGATTAATACTGAAAGAGAAGTCCTGCTATTTATAGTGAACTCAGAAGAATTAGAGTTCACTAGATTTGACCTGTTATACTTTAGAACTCTACAATAGGCTTTGAATTGTCAACTAGCTGTGCCGAGACATGTCGTGAGTGTTGTTCTTTGCATGGTAATACGGAGTTTAGTTGCCTCGAATAAATACTGGTTTCCTATTCCCACCAACAAACAGCTTTCCGCCTCCGAAAAGGTTCACTATTCATGCGATTTCGGTAGAATATGTTGAAACCCGTAGTCTTTTTGGTTTTGATGCAGATGCTAGCCTTTGGATTACAATTCGGTTTGCAGAAAGAGAATGATGAATTTCACTCCGCGATTCAAGAACACAGGAACAATGCTACAAAGCTAGGTACTCTCTACTTACCCAGCTTGTCACATGGTTGCATATTGAGCGAAAATGCCCGGATCCACGGTTGGGGTTGTTCTGATGGGCCTTTCGTTCTCGTCCTCTAAAAGGTTGAACAGTCTGGTCTTAGTCGACTTGTAAAATTGTCACTGATGTTCTGTGGATAAATCACCATTGTCTATATATTTGTAGCTTAACATTTGATACAAATTTTCCATATTGTGCAGAGACTGTGGATTCTGGCACCATGAGCATATCGACTGAGAACAAATTCGAAAGAAAGATTGAGTCATCGTCCGCTAAAATGTACTTTCATTATTATGGACAGTTGTTACATCAACAAAATATGATGCAGGACTATGTCCGAACAGGTGGGTTCAGGTCTGTATGCATTTATTTTTTGAAAATTATTTTGTTTACTTGAACCCTACTAGGTTACTGCATCCATGTGACGAAGAGACTCCAAGGAATCTATTATCTACAAGGGTCATTCTCTCTCCGTCCATCCAAAACTTGAAGAATACTTGTTCCAATTTCCCAAGCTCAGTGTAGGATGGATTCTCAGAGTCTCTGCGTACATATCTTTGATAAATAATTGATCGTGACCATGCCAAATTTCTTCTTTAATTCTCAAAAGTATAATATTTGAAGAAAGCCGCAAATCAATGTGCTTAAAATTTCCAATATCTGAATGTTCTCGAAGTTTCATATTTTAAACGAATCCTGGAACAAATGATCTTAACGAAACCAAGTGGTGTTTTTGAATATTTGATTAACATGCTCGTTTAGGAGAGAAATTATTTCGAATGTACTCATTATATTGGAGGTGGTTTTACTAGATCTAATCATTCATACATGATCTACAGCACACCATCTGGAAATTTTGTTTATGCATGGTTATTAAGTTCTATTAACATGACTATTAACTATCAGACTTCTATCTCATGTATTACGTATTCTCTGACCTTCCTATCGTTTTTTATTGAAATCGGCGAGTAGGTACATACTACGCAGCTGTTATAGAAAATCATGCAGACTTTGAAGGTAAAATTGTGGTTGATGTTGGAGCTGGCAGCGGGATTCTGTCACTTTTTGCGGCTCAGGCAAGTACCAGCTTTCCACTGCTTCTAGCATCTTTCCATCAGGGAGGCAGGTTCACAAGTTATTTTTTGTCAAAAAGTTTTAGTTAGAAAACACTCTATGAGTACGTTAAATGCATGTATGGATTACCGAACATCTTCGTGTTTAACTTTGTTAGCAATGTCTTGTTGTAGAGGGTGCAATATCAACTATGTTCGTCTTTTGTGCTGTCATGAACCAATATGTTTGTCGGATCAACGTTACTCTCTCTCTCGTTTATATATATATATATATATATATATGTGTGTGTGTGTGTGTGTAAATAGGTTGTGTGTGTGTGTGTAAATAGGTTGTGTGTGTGTGTGTGCAAAATGCGTCTCACCTTTTCCTTTGGCACTTATTGTGGTGCTACACAGGCAGGTGCGAAGCATGTTTATGCTGTGGAGGCTTCAGCTATGGCAGAATATGCGCGCAAACTTATTGCTGGGAACCATCCTCTGAGCCAACGCATTACTGTACGATTTGAAATTCAACACTTTTTCGTAGCACTGTGCAACCTTTCCTTTTTCTTTTAATCGTTTTCTGTCTCCCGGTTAGTCTTGTTTTTGTGAATCAGTGAGTAAGTGTGTCCCTTCTTTTTTTGGGGTTATCTTATGAGATTTGAGGCAGTCACGTGATAGTTACTGCTGATTGATGGGGTTTTGCATTCAACTTATTAGAATCATTGATTTTGCAGTGTAGATCGCAACTTGTGTAGTAGGGTTGAGTGGTTTGATCTTCTTGCAGGTTATCCATGGCAAAGTTGAGGAGGTTGAGCTCCCAGAGAAAGCAGACATTCTAATCTCAGAACCTATGGGTGAGGGCTTAACTTTGGTACTCTTTAAGCTTATTACATTGAACTGAGGGATCTTGTCACTAACAAAGTCATAGTACTATAGGGCTCTGAAAGTTGAAGAGTAGGAGTGAGCATCCTGTCCAATTTTCTTCAGTTTTTCATTACGTGTTTTTTACAATTAAGCCTTGCAGAGTTGTTTCTGGTATGAAGTGTTAAGGAATTAAGTAGCTAGCTGGGCTACCTTCGGGGAGCACACGTTTGCTATGAACTAGTTCGTTAGTTTACGCAATCGACTTATTCTATTATCATTGTGACTCTTTTCTTTTTAGATGAACTATATATTTGATAATTGGGTATGCATATTTACGTGCTGGCTACCTTGTTAACGGCATCCATGCGTGATATTGATAACGTCTTCGGATGTCTTTGTGCAGGGACTTTGTTGGTGAATGAACGGATGCTAGAATCATACATAATTGCTCGTGATCGATTCCTAGTGCCAAATGGCAAAATGTTTCCCTCCAGAGGAAGGTGAGTAGTGCTCTTAGCTGTATGTATGCTTTCTCCAGTCTGTTTTGTGTTGATTGTCACTTTAAAAAGGTAGACCATTACAAATGAAATTAGTCATCTGCTCTCCTGAAGTTTTTAGTTACTTGATTTACTTCACTTCATTTTCGCATGTTTGTCTAGGGTATTCAGAGTTTTTCACTTACTTTTCGTATCTTGTACAAGATGATAATAAATAGGTAATGCATCCCAGATTCTGCTAGTCTTATTCTAATTTTCTGACGCTGTTGGTAGGATACACATGGCTCCCTTCAGCGACGAATATCTATATGGCGAAATTGCAAATAAGGTATTTTTCTGGTTGTTGGATCAGTGGCGCTTGGGTTCTGTATCCTATGGGTTTTGCATATTTTCTGGGATAGAGATGGATAATGACAGTGTTTTCTCAAATGTTCGATCTTTGTAGGTTTATTAAATTTGGGGAGCTGGAATGAGTCAAGAAGATATTTGATAATTTCACCTTAGAGATAGGATCCATAGATTTTTAGGTTCCGAAGGTGTATTATGTGTACTGAAATAACTCCGAAATTTAAAGCTTTCTGTGCGAACAAATTTCTTGATGATTTTACGAGGACTGTTCTTAAATTTAACTTGTGATTTGCAGGCCTTGTTTTGGCAGCAGCAAAGCTACTATGGAGTGGATCTCACTCCGTTGCGTGACACTGCTTTCCAGGGGTATTTCTCGCAGGTTCGCATATCTCGAGCATCCATAGAGTCTATATGGAAGTCGTGTTCTTGAGGGTGTCCATAACTATTTTGCCTTCTCATATTTCTCACCATCTCCACCTTTTTTCTGCTTTGATCCAGGAGCATCACAAGGCCTTGGCTAGTAAAGTCTGATGGTACGTCCTAAAGAAGATCGGGAACGTACTTGTCTTTTCTGTGAAATTTGCTTGTACATACTTTAATCTCATATTTGTTTGTGCAGCCTGTGGTAGATGCGTTTGATCCAAGATTATTGATTGCACAGCCTATCATGCACAATATTGACTTCCTAACTGCAAAGGTACTCACATTTTAGCTCACTCACTCTAGTATTATTGTGATGAGGACTCTCAGTGACGAGCATCTGCTAGTGATGCTTACAGTATGAGCTCATTATTATTACTATGCCGTGGCTATCTCAACTTAGATACATAGTGAAGAGAAGACCTCGATTGCTGATAGTGTTTAGAGATGATTCATGCTGATAAAGAGATTGGTATTTGATAGGAGGAGGATCTTTACGAGATTGATATTCCGCTGGAGTTCAAGTCATCAGTTGCTGCGCGAGTACACGGCTTGGCATGTTGGTTTGATGTTCTGTTTGATGGCAGGTAAAATCTATCTGATGTTGATTGGATTAGTATTTCTAGTTCCAACAAAATGGTCACCTAAGTGGAATAGCCCTCATGAGAATAATCTGTCGTTTGCCTGTGGCTGCAGCTTAAACACCTCGACTAGGAAATCAAAAGATATTTGTCTCTATCTAACACGTACTCTAGTTCCCTTGAAAACTTGTTTCTTTGACATGCGTATTAATTTCTCAATTCAATTACAGTACTGTTCAGAGATGGTTAACAACGGCTCCTGGATCTCCCACGACACATTGGTATCAGATTCGATGCGTACTTTCACAACCACTTTATGTGCTGGCTGGCCAACCTATTACTGGTCGTCTTCATTTGATTGCACATAGTTCTCAAAGCTACACCATTCACCTCACTATGTCAGGTAGCTCTCGTCTCAATGAACGCCCATACGTGCTCTTCGTACAGTTGAATGCCCTGCATATCTCTGCTCAATAAGTTCTACTTACCAGATTCAATGCGTACTCTCATCTTATTATCATTCTATTTTTGAGTGGGGATTGCGTCGCTAACTTCCGAATGACCTTGTGCAGCGTCCTCAATTATACCAGGCTCGAACCGTGTTGGAACGCTTCAAACCTCCACAGCGAAGCTGGACTTGAAAGAGCCATACTATCGTATGACGCAGTCCCCAGCATTCGCATGGTCTCAACAAGAGCAACAGCAGCAGGTTACTTCTTGGCTGCCTCAGTAAAAAGTTTAATATCCTGTCAGCCACCAGAGTAATTACTGCATATTTCATTGCTGTTGTGTCCACTTTTGAACATATTTTTGCCACGTAGGTTGAAGAACTTCCTGCCCCGCAAGGCGTAGTCATGATGCAGCAACCATTTTCCGCAGACAATGAAGATGTCAACCAAGATCTTCAATCTCAACAGTTTGTAGTATCGAATGGGTTACAACTTCCTCAACACAATCCACAACAACTTCAACAGTATCAACAGCAGAATTTTTGGTCCTCTTAACTACAAATCATGATTAATCATTGTGGAATCTCCTGCCCTTCGGATTCTGATCAATTATCAGAAACACGTCTTGTTGGATTAGGCTCCTCATTGAATGATGATGTAGAAGCTTTATTCTCTGTGCGTCATTATCTCAAGTCAGATTGTTGAGGAATCACTTGTAGAGTGAGTTTATTGATATGTGGCTGTTTAGCAAGGGAGGTACTACAATGCATTCTGCTTCTGATCGAGTTCATTGAAATACTAGGGAAAGAAAAGCTGGATGTAGCTTTGATGTTGATTGAAAGTGACCTTAAGTTGAATGACCTCGCCACTTTAGGCACTTTTTACACACATGAAACATAGTATGGGATTGAATTGGATTGACTCTCTACCACGCGGTAAATGGGATATACATTGTAATAAGAATCAATTTGCTAGTGCCAAGCTAAATCTTGCAACTCTAGTAGAACCAAATAGTATATATAAATTGAACTCCAGTTTGTACTGATTTCTTGTCTGGCAATAGTAACATTGGAATTCTGAAACATATGATGAATCCACATGTTAGTGATACTCAAATGGGTATTTCGGATTTCAGCAGCTGGCAACAACACAGGTAACTCGACAATTCACTGATGTTTTCCAGAGCAGGATCAGCGAGGGAAGTCTAGAAAGCACCACAAGTACCTCGTTAGCTCAGGAAACTTCTCCCTAACCCAGATTCCCACAATGGATTATCCTCACCAGATCCTGGAGTCGAGGGTGTGATATCAAAGTGTTAGAGTTTCAGGGTTTATAGTACCATTTCGTTTGAAAAAAACTAGACTTTACTACATGCCTGAAGCTAACTACAACTCTTAGGTCAATTCACTAAACAATTTCACAATAAAGTAAGACAAACACCATGTCAACTTATGACTTGATGTAATTTATTTTAATCCTAATTTTTAAGACTTCTTGAACTTCTTTTCATGAATAAAAATGTGATTGTTTTGTACAAAAGGTTTATTTGACTCATACAAATAAACCTCTTAAATACAAAAGGTTTATTTAACCTAAATTATGAGACCACTTTGTAGAATTCTTTAATTCCAACAAATTGTTTAATTTCCTTAAAAACTTAGAGATTATCCATAATTTTTTTTGTCCATACAAAAAGGATGTGCTATTGTCTTATTTTTTTATTATTTTATTTTTTATGATTAGTTTCAATGCATCCAACCAAAATAAATACTATTTGATTGTATGATTTTTCTAGTTTGTCGGTCATTTCATGTCTTACTATAGAATGATAAGGCATTGCATTATACTTGTATTGTCCAAAGACACAAGTCTCAAAGTAGAATTCATCTCATTTGGAATCATTTGAATTTATTAGAAATATTGTCGTTAAGGTTTGTTTCAATGTAACATGCTTTCTAAGGCATCAAGTATCTTGGATTAGTAGTTAGTTTATCAAAACAAATATTGTCTAATTCTAAATCTATCTAACTTTGAGGGCAATTCTAAGAACTATAGATTATTGTTCCTAAGAGACTTGATACACATACATTGACTTTCAAAACTGAATCAATTAGCAAAGCAACAAGTTTTAGGAAGCCATATCTTGAAGAGTATTGGATGAGATGTGCACTAAGCTTACTATCATCTTTCAATTGTTAACCTGAAATTGGTATCCATTATAGTTGATGGACTAGATAATAATGTAGACATGAGGAATATTTTGATTGAATACTTGAATGTAGTAGTGAACACCAAGACAATTAACTTCATGTGCTGCATAATTCAAGTCTTGGATTATTAGAGAAACAAAAGAAGTTATTCCTCACAACCGAGAATGTGCATTGCAAGTTAGAATTTGGTCAACTTCATTAAGATTGGACTGTCTATGATTGATATAAGGTGATTTTTAGTGATGAGACTAAGATCAACCAATTTCAGTTTGATAGTTAAGCTTGATGTTAGATGAGATATAGAGAATCTCAATTATAAGCTTGTCATATGAATCAAACAATTAAATATGGAAGTCGTGCAATTTTTATATAGGATTGTATGACTTTTTGTGGCATTGGTTATATATGCAAGTTAGAAGAGAAGATGAAATAAGATTTTTATCTTAACATTCTTCAATATGAACTTCTAAAAATAATGAAATAGTATTGTTTCAATTCTTTTGTGTCATATTTTAGTATGATAATGATCCTAAATATATTGAAAAACCAATCAAGAAATGGTTGATAATGATTTTATTTTATATAATTACTTGGTCTTCTCAATCACATGACCTAAATCCAATGGAGCATGTGTGGCACTTCTGAAATAGAAATTAAATGAGTACCCATCATCAACCAAAGGAATGCTTTAATTGTGGGAGTGTGTACAAGCTTATTTTAATCCCATTACAATTGAGTAGTATCAAAAGTTCTATCATAGCATGCCTAATCCTATTCAAGTTTTTTTAGCTTCTAAAAGAAGGTGAAAAAAATATTGATATACAAGTAGATGTAGATTACAAAACTAAGTTGATACACCTAAGTTCATTTAAAATGCAATTTCTCTCTTATTGTTATAATTCTCAAGCTGAAATTTAGAAGGATGATAGCCAACTTGGTTGCGTATCTCAAAAAAAATTGGTTTGGCAAAAAGATCAATATTCCTCTAGATATGGCTTTCCAAAATTTGTTGTTTTGTTAATTGACTCAATTTTGGGAGTCAATTTAGTTGATATTTTTTTGAGGTTTCTCTCTTAGATTGTGTCTTCCAAGAATTTATTGTAACTCTATTATAGATTATAATAGATCAAGCAAGTCAACATAACTTCTTTCTCTTTATAATCGTTATGGAAATTAAGATTATTCCTTTTTACTTGTAATATCTCTTGAATTATTTTTTGTGGTGGATATTAAAGATGATGCTATATCTTTCTTATTATAACAATTAAGAAGGCTTTCTTTTATAGCAAGTACAAGAAAATAATTTAATTTAAATAGTAAGATGAGAAATTACACCTCCTTTGCTAAGTAATGAATTTCCTCCAACACATCCAGCTCCAATTATTGACCATTTTTTAAGCCAAAAACTTACGTAGATTGAACTTCTTCTATTAGTTGAGCTACTTTTGTTTCTTATTGACCTTTAAAGTATGGTTGGTTGGTATTGACATCTTTGGAACTCATTATGAAGCATCAGAGTGGTAGTTGTACTTTGCCTTCTAAACTTTTTCATGTATATCAAATTTAAAAACCAATTTGCATCTATTAGTGTTAATTTTGAAGTAACTATTTTTTTTCTACTAAGTTATCTTATATTCTTGGCTTGATGATTATTTTGCATAGCTTAGAATGATCCATCATTCCTTCAAAGACTTTTATTTTTTATTTTTAAAATTTTATATCTAGACAAATGATATAAAGTATTTTTTTCTTCTTTAAAAGATAAAAAAAACTAAAAGATTATAAAATTAATTCTTAAGAATTAGAATATAGAATATATTACAGACTATTTCTTATTTCTTCTATTTATTTTTTAAAATTAATATTACTTTTAAATTATGTATAATATTTCATTCAATTTTTTTTACTTAATTTAATAATTACTTTATTTTAATTTTTTTATTTACTCAATTCTAATATCCCTATTACCACAATTTTACATTTTGATAAACTATGTATTATAGTTATTATATTTTTACACAATAGTCTCTAGAAAGGTTGGATTTTAAATAAGTAAAACTTACTCACAAAAAATTGCAAATTAGTTTCTATTATCAATTCCACAAATTCAAGATAAAATACAAATTATTCTATGTTTGAGTTATCATTAGCTTGAGTTTTTTGATATGAAAGGTTTCTATTGAAATTTTAAAATAGCGACATTCTTTTTCTAGCAATTAGATCATTTAATGGAATAGAAACATTGACTATGTATGCAATTCTTTATGTATTTTAGTTTACTTCATTGGTTTTATTAAAACTTATATTCACATTTACTTTATCATATTTTTATTAGATTAATGAATAATGGCCTTTACTATAACAATTTATGATTAATATTATCATTATAGCTTATGTCACTAATTATATATAGCATTAAATGTTTCTAATTTATGGCTTGTGGCAAGTTATTTGCTCAAGTTTTCTCCTCATAAATATAGATGATGAGTTTCATAGGTTTCATTTTGACCATGTAATTTAACAATGTTTTATTTACAATGGCATTTTAAGGACCTATTAGAATACTTTCTTGTTTCAATCTCTAAGACTCCTTAAGTGTTAAAGCCACTTACACAAATTTAGTTCCTACTACCAATTAAATATATTCTTAGAGAAGGGTTTAAATTAGGATCTATATTTATAATTTTATAAGAATTTAGAAATTTTGATAATATCTTTACATTTATGGCATATATTTCTATCTTTAGTACCAAAATTTATTGCAAAAGAATTTTTCTTTGTTTGATCACTACTAGTATAAAATCATTTGCATTTGGATAACTTTATGATTTTTTTGTCGACTTTGTTTGATATTTTTGCACCTTGTATTCTACTATTGTTATTTCTTTTAACATAAAAAGTTTTATTTAAATTCTTATTTGAATTATTATTTTTTAATAATTTAAATTGATATTTAGAGCATTCTTATTTCTTGTGATATATTAGTATTTAATATTACTTTTGGGTCAAACAAGGGATTCAAAGGTTAAAAGATATAAAAGACATGCATAATTTAGTATAGAGATAAAATAAGAATTATTTGATTACTTCCTAAAAAATCAATCTTTTGATAGAAGAATCATCTTTTCAGCACTTTATTTAGCAATATAGGACCCTCTCCAGCTAGGTTTAATTCATGTAGTCATTTCTCTAAATTTTCAATAGAAGACAATTCTTTCATAAAATACAATATAATAATATGTTGTTATAAATATCATATTTTTATTTGTCACGAGTTTTTAATTGTAGTGATTTCACAAGATATTTTTCTTATTAGGAAATTAGACAGCTTCTAGCATAACCAAATAGCAAATTCTCTTCTAGCATGGCCTTTGTTAGGTGTGGCTATCCCATTTGCTACTACCTTCTTAACACTTATATCATTTATTGTTGCCGGTTAGGACATGTGTTTATAAGATTTGTTTGTTGGTCCTTTTAATGTTCTTTTCTTTCTTCACTATTATTGTAAGAATATCCAGTGATCTACCTTGATGCAAACTAAGAAATTCTAATATTATCCAAATTTTTATTGATTATTTTTATTTTTCTTTTATATTTTTTTTCTTGATCAAATTATATATTAAACTATCTTTAATTATAAATAAAACTAACCACGTGCTCTTCTAAAAACAAAAATCTATTAAGCACAGCCAAAGTTGCACCAAATCTTATTATTATTATTATTATTATTATTATTGTCTTTTTTTTAATCTTTCATTGCTTTAATAAATGTGTACCCACTCTACAATTTCAAATCTTTTGAAGAAGATTTAGATAAAATAAATAAATAAACAATTCTTGTATTAGTTATATTAAATTTATAATACTATAATCTTTTCTTTAGTACCATCTTGTTTGCTTTCAAACAATCCACTCTTTATATTTCTTTTTCTTTCTTTCTTTTATCATTATTATTTGTATTATTTTACAAAGCTGAATACTACTTCTCAAATTTCATCAATGGATACTAAGTTGTGTATCACTAATTTTACTTTCATGTAAATGTATTGATTTTATATAAATCAATTAACAAGCTTTGCATTCATTTTCACGAGTTTTGTTTACTTCTTTTTATATTTTCTACACTGGCAGTTATTATTTACAAACATGGAGCTTACTAAAATCGTTTTTCTATAGGTGAGTTTATTTAAAATTTATAAAACTATGAAATATATATGTCTAAAGTGACACACTATATATATATATATATATATATATGAATTAGGTGGATAGTTTACACTCTTAAAATTACTATATTATCTTGACTTGTAAAAAAAATCTAATATTTTAAAAATTAAGAAGTGATTAAAATGTGTCAATAGAATTGTTTAAATTTGAAAAACAGAATATGGTTTTTCAGAACATCTGCTTACATGTACATGCAAAAAAGAAAATAGTAGAAAAAAAAAAGCAAGACCGTAAAAAACAATAAGATTACAGGTGTCCTTTGTCTAGTTATTTTCACCATCATTCACAATGTAAATACTTGTTTCAGATACTTTCAAACGATTTCCAAAAATAAGTCATACCAAAGTGCAAACTTTTGTCGCAAATCAGGCGTGCCCACTCATCGCAATTGCGAGAAAAAATGCTCAACAAAGTCATAAATTGGAGCTCAACAAATTTGAAACTCCATCCTAGAAAGCTCCGCCGAACCTACTTCATATAAGCGTCGGTGGCCTTCGAATTCAAGACTCTCTGCAAAACCTGGTTTCAGTCTCTGAAGTACTTCAAATAGCTTTGTGAATTCCACAGAAAAACGGTGCAAAATGTGTATCGTAGCTCCATCATGCCCATCACCATTTCTGTACACGAGCTTGGAAGGAAGAATGGATCTATAGCGATCAGTTTTTTGTTGTTTCACCGGAGGCCTTTGTTGCTGTTTAGCCACCGACAGCAATTACGCATCGCTCGATTCTCCAACCTCGCCACCTCACCGTGATCTACAAGGATGAATGCCTGCAGATTTCGCTAGGTCGTGTTTTACAAAGTTACAGGCGACTTGCTACCGTAGCTTTGAGCTTGAAATATGGAAAGAAGCACGAGGAGGAGCATTGCAATCGTCCCCATGCTTGGGCTGGATGCGTGAGCCGAATCCGGAACGTTATTAGGTGGTAGAGGAGCTGGGGTGGGAGAGACTGTGACTCCCTGATCCCACAACAAGCCAACATTAGTGAACAATGTATGAACTCACGTCGATCCTTGTCCTGGATCGTTTCAGTCCTATAAAGAGGAGGCGGAGTTGAAATGGGAAAGGGCTTACAAATGGTACGATCTTCACTTTCTGTCCTGCCCGACAATGCCCAGAAACGGTGCAGGTGAAGTACAGTACGACGTCGGTGTCTTTGATGGTGTACTGTTCAACAAACCATTCCACAAGCAACTCAGCGCCAAGAGGCTTAAATAACAGAGTTGTGTAAATCAGAGCCTTCATTCAACATCAATAACATGAGTAGCCTCTGATGGAAGTATGGACTCAGTTCAGCGGCCCCATACGTCCCTGAGGTGGACAAAAGGTTGACAATAAAGGGTTTCTTACAGTTGTCGGGGTTCCATACGGGAGGGTTTGTCCTGAACCGGCAGTGAGAGCGCAGCTCGTGTAAGCTGACTTGGTATCGACGAGGTACACAGTGTGTTGTCCTCTCTCGTAGTCAAAATCTGGACGTCACGAGCACAACACTACGGTAAGAAATCAATCGTGCATTGAAACTCGCAGTTTAAAGCATCATCAATTGTTGGGTCAAAATGGCAGCTCTGCTTGAGCGCTGAAATGGCCTTGGGTGAGGCAGTAGCAATTAGCGGCTTTGAAAATGCTCCTAACCCTAACTCAGCGTGGATTCTAGAAGCTCTTAAAAGTACAACATTTTATAAATTCTGAAAATCGAAATGTATCATTGGTGCACAAGAATCTCACTTATTGTGTCGCCCACTGTAAAATTCACCGAATCGGCCCACTTCTGATAAGCGGCCTCCAGAGCAGCAGGTTGCGACAATCCGTTAATTGTGTTCGTCCAACTAGCGTTGCCTACGACATTCACATAATCGGCCCCTACGGTGTAATTTTTGCCTTGAACATTGTGAATGAGTCCTGTTTCTACGCTTATCGCTAGTAGCAGAACTACCTTGAACAGAGCGGGAGCACGTGACCAGCTCCATGACCTCAAAAGCATGTCTACTCTAGAGGTCATTCTCTGAATGCGTTGCGCTCTTCGCTGTTTAAAGAAAATTACGCCTGGTTCAAATGCAAATCAGAGAGACAATATTAATCCAAAGTGCTGCAAAAACCTCAGGGAAAAGAAATCTGAAGAGCTTTATGAGTGAAGCCTAACGGATTTACAGGTCATTGCATACCCGCACGATCTGGCGAAATGAATCTCGTCAGCGTCGCTGCGAGCTCTTTGTCGAGGATTCTATCGGATTATCTGCAAGTACACGCAAAAACACACTGAGTGAGAATGCTTTCCAACAAGGTTACGGCTGTAGCGATGCAGGCTACTATGGGTTAGATCATAACCAACAAAAACTTGTCCAAGAATAGAAGAGACTAGATTCGGTATTATTTATTGATCACCTTTGCAGAGTTCCGCACACGGATACTACTTCTAATGCTTCCCAGTCCTGCAGAAGTCTGTGCTCCCGATCTTCACCTCATTCCTTGTGTTCTAGCTTTGAATGCTACACGTCGATATCAGTAACGATCATACACACGAATACCGATACAAATGAGTGATAGTAAGGTCCATAAATGAGCTATACCAACAAATGATCTGCTCGGCTTGCGGCAGACGAAATCATGAAAACGGAAGAGATCGTGGCAACCGTCAGAGCAGAATTGAATGGGAACGTGTAGCCAGAGACTGATGAGCGTCTCAAAGCTCAACAGCGTTATGTAAAAACCTGTGCGTTACTTCAACACCTCAGATAAACCATCAAATTTTCTAAACCGAATTTCCCTATCACTAAGCACCCTCGTCAAATCATTTACTCTGGCGATGTAGCAATCCCACACGCGCCGCATGAGTTTAATCACAACTACATATGCAGAGAACGAAGTAAGACATTCTCAGAGGACAGTCTACGAGTACAAAAAGTCTTGAGACAGTGCCATTAGCCCCCTCCCCTGAAAGTCCAAGAGCGCACAGTCCGCGACAAACATGGGGAATCTCCGATTCAACTCCAAAAGCGGTTCCTACCAGCGCTGGACCAGTCGGGATCCGCGGAGGACCGCAACTATACCAAATACTGAGAGGGGTGGAAATCGGTACTACCATACTTTTCTAGAAATAAAACAGCTATACATCATTATTCTCATTCCTATTCTTGTGCCAATGGGGGGATGCTTTACACCTCTCCACAATGGCTAGCAACATGCGGAGGCACACAGTGATCGGTTAATATCAGCAAAGCGAGGGGGCAAGGTTCTCGTTCTAGAAACGGCACTTGACTAGTTCTCCTCCCTCCTCCTCCACTGGTTAGAGGGTCTTCCCTGGGCGAGTCAGTGTTGGCGTCAGATGCTTTATTATTATTGTTATTATTATCCTCTCTCTCATGCCTGGAACCCCAATCCCACCCCACCCACATCTTATAATTTTCCCTTCCCTGCTGCTTTCCTGTTGGACCTCGTCTTCTCCCCAAACCCCTAGTGGTGGTTTCTATTTGTGTGTTTGTGTTGTGTTGTGTTCCTTGGGATTTTGAGGTGTTTTCCACTCTCTCAATGATTGATTGATTGCTTCTCAGCACTGCTGAGAAGTTGTTCTGGGTGCTCACCCCATCACCATTCCTCTCTTATGTTCTTCATCTCCGCAATATTGGATCTTCGCCGAGAATCCGCCGCTGCCGTTGGACCTGGTGGATGAATGAATCGATGTTGGATGTACGGTGGATGGGTGGTTGTGGATGGATGTATGTGTTGTGGATGGATGGTTGCATCCATCTACACTGGTGGGCAGGGGGGCAGAGGAGCGGGGGCCATGGCTAACGGCCCCCCTTCATTAATTATTTTGAGAATTATAATTATTTTTACAAAATTTATTATATGATTTCAAGAAATTAAGTTTCAAGAATAAATTTATTGATAGGATTTTTCACTTGGTTAATTTTTTCTTGTATAAATAGGATGTTATTTAAGATAAACCTTTTTAAAAGAAAATTAACTATGATTTGGATGAAACTATTTTCTAAAGATAGGTGATAACCTTTATTTTATTTTGTGCAAAATAGTTCAATAAAAATTCTAATTTTACTGTTTTAAGATTTTTTTTATTGTCATATTTTTATATAGCAATATTAAACTCATGTATTTAAAATAGTGTAGTAAGTATTGTATTTTTCTTTCAATATTTTACTTATTAATTTTCATAGTATAGAAGTAGTTATCTTTATAAAAACCATCAAAAGATTAGACTTGACATACAATGTTCAATAGAATTCTTTATATATGTTTTTTAACCTTATTTGATTTCTTAGTGCACCTTTTTGTGTTCTTTAACTCTATAATTGCTAATAATATATTCTTCAATGACTAAAAAAATATTATATATATATATATATATTCTATCTATCTATCTTCAAATCCTAATCTCACTTTCTTGTTGATAATTTTTTATTTTTAAAAATAATATTTAATTATATTTTAATCTCTTTTGGTCAATAGATTTAAGATAATAGCTTGTAATTGTTATTTAATCTTAAAATCCTCTTTTTTAAGCTTCATAATATATCAAGCTCTATAACTTATTTAATTTATCAAATATACTTTATAATATGTAATGAATGTTTTAATTATGTAGAAGAAATTCGATATAAACCATGAGTTTTATCAGTATAAAGAACAATAAATAAAAATAAATGAACCTTATTCAACTCATTTACATAGCCTAATTTAGATTATAAATTTAAATAGCATGCATCATTTAACAAATTCCTATCAAATTCTAAGGTTCTCTTGCAACAACAAAGTCTGTTCTTTTTACATTAGAATATAGAATTTAGATTGTAGCTTATTCAAACGAATCTTCTAATTTTATATAATATAAGTTTTAATTTTATTCAACCTAAGTAGTGAGAAGAGAAGAACCAATACTTGTATATATATTATCTTTTGAGAGATTTGAACTTTCATTATTGTTTTTATAGGAGACCACCCAAATGAAGAATATATGATTCAATCAATGCAATGAAGTCTACTTGCATTGAAACTTATGCCTCACTTTTTGGCAGATTGTAGTACACCTTGGTGACTCCTTTTCTCACACGAATTTGGGAGACCTGCATAAAAAATCAGTATATCATAAAAAGTCAGAGTCCTGTGACCAAACAGAAAACTATGCGGTAGTGTTTCATTTACAAAGATGAGATTTTTGGTCACTTGATCCAGAAGCTTTGCCTACAAATGAAATATTGAGACTGAGCACTCACAATGAAACAATGTTCAGATATATAATAATCAAATCGGAATGGCTCAGACCTAGCTGATATGGCTGCATAATTTCGCTACAGCAACTAACATATTCAAGAAATCGGGAATTACTTTTACAATCTTGAATAACATTCCTGTCAGAGGACTACAAATTTCACAACGTGGGTGTAGAATATTAACGACATGACGAGATTCACCTACCTTGATTTCTCCAATTTCAGAGATGGCAAGAACATGAGTTCCTCCACAGGGGCACCCCAGGTTTTCACCCAAGCAAATAATCCTTGGACAGCTTTCCTGCACCATGTGAACTTTTGAATCAGCAGATCAACATTATCGTCAGCTAAATATTATATCAACATTTGAAAACTGATATACTCAACAACATTCCCGGTAAGAGACAGAGCTAATCCTGCTGACAACCTTGGCAATATAGTCGGGCAATCTTCCACCACACAAAGCTGCAGCTTCCGAATAGGATGCGACTGTTGCTCGTACCTGCAGAGACTTGCCACATGTAGCTTCCATTAGAATAAGATTAAAAGAAGTGCTCAGACAAGCGGGCATTCTTCAGACGTTCCATAACAATACGCTTCTGAAACCAATGAAGTATGCAACGGTAAAAGAGGATTTCGAAAAGCAAGTTGTTGAAACGTCAAGAAAACAGTTCATAAAGAGACACAACTGAAGAGCACACAAAAAAACAGCTTCATTAATCCTAGAACGTTACTGAAGCAAAATATTTACCAAATAGAGCATGGTGTAATAGATTTGGAGCCTTCAAGTCGTACATACCTGGCCGCCCAACGCGATCAGATGATTAGCTTCGGATTCTAAAGCATCTCGCTTGTTTTCTAAATCTGAAGATGGAATAGTTCCCTTGTACTCTACAAAAGGGCTGCACAGAAAGTTCACGTCATCGAGACACTAGACCATAACCAGAAAATGCAAGATTTCTTTAAGTGAGAAATCAATCACTGCAGAAGCAAAGAAACATACCCATCAGGAAAATGATAGCCCTTTCCAGGCTCCAGTGAACCAAGTCCAATATTGCTCATGCACGCATCCAGGAGATGACCAGCAGAATGTAGCCTGTTCCTCTTCAGAATAACCGACTACCCTGATCAACGAGACATTCTGGGAAATTCTTCAAAAAACAGAATCGCCGTTCTGACGGGTAGATTGACAGCAAAATTCTACGAAATTGTTTCATCAACCAAAAATATCAGAAGGATATTTACTGTTGCTTGCAAAGAATTGGGTATGTCAACAAACCTGGAATTAAGTGTACGTCGAGCGCCGTCTACAGAAATTTTAACTTCGTGTCCAGGCTCGAAGCCGGTTGCCTCCATCACCCTGTTCTCATGGTAATTTCCATAGTGATATACCTGTGGATGTAAAGCCAACTGAGTGATCAGACAAGTACAAAGACGGAAGTTCAGACATGCTCTTGAACCTCACACGTGAAGTTACGGTTTCGGAAGAATGTCCCTAAGAACTCTTCAAGTGACTTGTGAATCAAACTGTGATCGAGAACTTTAGAGCTTACCACACCAGACTTTGTACGAACATCGGTGACACAGAACTTGATCGTTCCATCTACAGCTTCAATAGAGCCCGTGTCGAATGGTTGGCCTCCTCCCTGAGGATGTAAAATGGTCTGGTCTAGCACAACTGCCAGCCGCTCTCCTTCCTATCTTAAAGAACACAAACCAAAGAAGGAAAAAAATAAAAATAAAAATGTCAACAAATTAGAAGGGTTTTGATATAAACACAACCCAAAACAACAACAGCATGCCGCATGGATCTGGCCCTTCATCATCACCCGTGCAAGTACCAGATATCATTTATCACACACAAAGATGCAAAACCCGCCAAATCAAGAAAAGGTGCGAAGATGAGAAATAATACTACCCAAGTGACATAAATGACACCCGCCATGGCTAGTGACGTTCTAGTAAAGAAGATGCGCCACCAAACCCCGTCACTGTGGCAACAATTTCTTCAACAAGACTTAAAGGTAACACTGCACGAAACAACGATCAAACTGCAATTGAAAACTCCCACGATAAGGAGCGTCGCAATGCAACCGCAATGCAGGCAGTCCCAACAACCATTCACAATAATCTACATCACAGAAACTAACGCTTTTTTCCGATCCGTCTAGCACAACAGGGAGTGCGAGACCCAAGTTCTTCACATGCTGCGAAAGAGCAGCAGAAACCTTTAAAAAAATCATAACTGAATCGTCACCTACAGTTGCTCATCAGGTCACAATCAAAACCCGTTGTGTACAATTGAAGCAAAGTGTCATAACCGAAACCCACAACATGCAAAAACCTTATTGTTCCTCACCGTGATGACGCCAGCCACAATGGCATTGGAGTGGAGCTTCCTCATGTCATCGAAGTAGGCTAAATTGGTAGGTGGGAGAGCACCATCACCGCAAGAATGTGAAGTCCCTGGCACACCCATGGCAACGAGCTCCAACGTACAGCAGCACAAAAAGCAAAGGAAAGCAAAGAGACGAAGACGACGAAGAAGAAGAAGCATGCCGAGTCCGATGTGGAATGAATAAAGCCCATAGGGCCATGGAGATCGATTAGAAAAACCTTTTTGTGAATTTTTTTGGAAATTTCAATTGATGATCTCTAGATCCGGCAACGTTTCTACTGAACTATAATTGACACTCTAGTTGCTAGTATATATATTTTTATTAAAATTTATGTTATTTTTTCTATATCTGTTAAAATATATATATATATATATATATATATATATATGTATATTGAGTAGGTGGCGAGTTGTGGTGACATCAGAAATACCCTATTACAGTAAGATTCTTGATAGAAACAATCTGTTTTACTAAATCACATAGTTTAAGAGTTGGTTGTTTGAGGAAAATTTTGGTAACATCACTGGTGAAGGTAACATGTGAAGAGTTGAATGCAATCTCAGTTGAAAGGTTATGGATTGTTAAAAGCTTGTACGAATTCAAGGGAAGACCTTTGTCTTAGAAACCAGGCATTAGAATTTGTTTCAGGTAATCATTCAATCCCAGGTTGTAAAGCCTGATGATGGCCTTAGATTTTTCTTCCATGCAAATTGAAAAGTCGTAAGAAATAAATTAAGGTACAAATTACAAGCAAGTGGTCCGCGCATAATATACCAAAATTTCAAGTATGAAATTCTGCAAAAGTTTAGGAATGTAGAAACACATCATTAAGGATGGCAAAACACACCCAAAACTCGACACTCAGAATTACAAGTCGTTTTCAAAAGCACATGCAGTGTGCAGCATCCACATGCAGGTTTATTATAACACGAATCATCTGTTTCCGTCCGTTTGTTTCCTGTACAATAAAACCTGCAACTGTGCTCTATTAAAAAACGCCACTGATATGGTTCGTGTTTGCCTACATTAAAGACTGTATTCTCGGCCTCCTGTATTGGAACGGATTTCATGTTCACTTAAAACTCCAATTGCTGCCGTTGTCCTTCCAAAGATCAACATATTTTCGCCTTGGAGAAGTCCATCTCAGGATGCTGTTTTCATAAGCCAGAGACACATGTAAACCTAAGATAGTGCTCTGGTAGCAACAAGGGTAAGGCAACAGCTAGGTATTGATTTCTTAGAAATTTCCTAGGAAGTGAGTCCCCTTGAAAGGATCTGATTTATCCAAAATAATATATCATATTGTTCAGACCTGGAGAAACTCAGATACAAAACCATTAACATCCAGAGATAGCTCATAGTCAAAACCTTTACCTGAGCCATAAATTTCTTCAGGATGTCGGCTTTGTTTTGTTCGTCACTCGTGGGTAAATTCATAGCCTTCTGACGTTGGTCATACTGATTCAAAAATAGAACATTTCGTGAGTACGAGAGCAGGCGTCAATACTCCCAACTATACTTGCTCAAGGTAACTCAGTTAGAAATATATAACACAAATAGTTCTTAGCAATCAAAGTCACGAGGACAAACCTCGAAAATAACATAGGAATCGTCATGTATCCACTGTACTTACCATCATCTTTTCGACTGTCTGGCGGGTCTCAGGATCCAAATCCTCTAATTTGCTGTTCGCAGGTTCTACTTTCTGCGTGTTGATTTCAGGTTCACCTTTCAGCACACTTTTCCACCACTCCATTTGGTTGTGCTTTGTCAGCAAAATAGAAAGTGTTGAACCATTGTCCTCTGCATCGAACAATAATGTTCACTAGTAAGCACAAGTTCAAATTCGCTGTATGTCCCTATACTGAACCTCAGAAGTAGTAAATTTAGCGCATTTGACTTCAGTCAAAAGCACCAATTAAAAAAACCTCTAAGTCGCCCTCAGTTCTAGAAATAAAATAACTCAAGCAACCGTACAAATGAGTACCTAAACTCCAAAAACAGTCATCGGCCTTCACTGGATTATAGAATTCGCCCTGCAAAATAGAAAGCACCGTGTAAGCTTTCTTCTTTAAAACCCGTAAACAACAAATCCAGAAGCATATTCGAAACCAGGAAGTAAAGAGGAAACCAACAAGCACGTCCTACACGACAGCCAAATACATTAAGTGAGCAGTACAGAGGCATAAATATACCCCATCAAAAAGTCTACATACGCACCGCTAAAATTGGAGGCTGGCCCTTGAGACCAGCTTTCATGCTTTTACTCTTGATATCACATGCCACCATCCTCGACTTAGTTCCTCCTGGAATTTTAATTTGAACAGTAACCTCTTGAAGAGTTTGCGTCCAAGAATACTTTTCGTGATCAAACCCGTTTCCAGCATTAGGTTCTGCAATCGATAGTAAAAACGTAAGAAAATGGGTGACCAATAATGCCACGAAGTCGACTTTCCAACCCTACGCAACCCTAATTCTTTCGTATCCACCCTGCAATAAAAGATCTGTCTGAAAACGACGAACCCATACTTAATCTATGAGCTACACCTCTGAATTCGACACATCGCCTAGCAGACTGAATTTGAATTACGACTTTGAAGCAAAACATGCGAGTCCGTGACCTTCAGTTCCGGATCCTCTGATGTACTGTGACTGACCGAATGCTCCCAGATATCCTATTAAGCTATTGCAGTGACTACAATCAAAAGGCATTTGCAGTATAGTCTTGTATATGCGATGACCATCCAGTGCAAGCTCTACATGTACACCCTTTGATAAATGGCACTGAAGAGGGAGACGGATGCGTATGAGCTCATCGAACAACGAGCTCTACAGGCTTTCAATCACCCAAAAGTGTCACATCTCAGGCCGACAGAAATGTCAAGAAGAAAAAACTTACTCAAACCCTTCCCATCGATTTTTTCATCATAATCGTCAACTCCGGAAACAATATTCTCCGTCGCACTTGCATCGGCAGCTTCAGGCTCATCCTCAACCTCAGCCTCAGTCACAGGCGACGATGTTATGTTCACCTCTTCCACGTCTTCAACTTCCGGCGCTAGGTTGAGGTCTACGACCACTTCCTTGGGCGATTGTTTCACGCTCGCCTCGACCTTAGCAATCTTTTCTCTCGCAGCAGCATCCTCTAGATCACACTCACTCTTCCTCTTCTTCGCCGCGGACAAAATCTCAGAAACCCTAGATTCTACTCCATCTTGCTGGGCGAGGTCCGTCTCCCTGAATAAGTAATCGATCACGGTGGTGAGCAGTCCCAGCGGCTGCTGATTGTGCTCGTGCAGCAAGGTACTCAACACCACATCATGCCGCTTGCTGAGCTCATAATCCCCCACGGGCGTGTCCGCGGGAGGCGTAGCAGTCCCCGGCGTGAGATTGATTTCTTTCACCTCAGCTGGCGCCTGCGGCGACGAGGTCTGCACCGGCTCCTCCTCCTCGTACTCGGAAATCACAGCCATACTCACCTAAACCCGTTCCCAAACCCACAAAAATCAGCATTAAAAAAGCACACAAACCTAACTCCCACAATCGACGCAGACTTATCTCAAGCACTGCGGTCGACACAGGAACCCTGAACGTCGATGATTTGAAAGATGAAGATGAAGGTGGACAGCTGCGAAACTTACTCAAAACACAACCAAATCGAACAAGAGAAATGTCGTAGCAATCAGCGAAAGCCGAAGAAGGTGGAAACTCGCTTCGATTGAGGCGACAGTGGTGTTGAGTGAAATGGTTATTGAATCGATAGCAGCGCTTCGAAATCCGGCGGGGGGTAGTGGAGGGGTGGAATATGCGCTCTAGAAATATCGAGGGGTCGGAGGAGCATGCGGATGCAAATACTGAAGGCGGCGTTACTGCCGTCTGTGGCGGGCTACATTCTCCTAATAGTAAAAGTAGTCAAATCTTTAAAGTTTAAATGAGGGGAGATGGAAACAAAAAGGGCGAGGCACAACATAAAAAAAGAAAAAAAGAAAAAAAAAAACGGAAATAAATGAATCAAAAGGGCTCAGCAGCAATTGTGAAGGTTGAAATCAAATCGGATTTTTGTAGATGTTAGTTTTCATTCTATTAATGTAATTATAATTATTATTTTAATTCTTAAATGTCAAGTAGTTTATATTGATAAAAATGATAAATAATCAAATAATAAAATCTATTTAATAATATTATTCAATTTTATAGAAATAATTAGAAATAAATAAACGTGGATTACATATAAAATATTATTTATATAATATTTTAATAATTTTTTTATATACATAATGAATTTATAAGAATTATTTTATATAGCATGTAATAATAGAAACTTCTCTTAGAAGATTTGTGGATCTAAAAGATATTATGGATATATCTTTTAAATTTAATATTTTTTTGACATCTTTATGGTTTTTAGAAATGTTCTATTTAAGTATTTTATTAATTAGTATATATAATGATAAGATTAAAGCTATTTTTGGCTTTACCAATACTCTTCTTGTATTATAGTTATAAATTATATCGGAAGTATATATGGCTCAATTACCAAAGGTCTTTTAGGGATGATCACCACCACATATCTTACATAGTAGCAAGTAATCATAATAGTGTCTTAAGAACATGTCTCTCAAAGAACTAAAAGGATAATACACTCTTATGTCACTCAAAAAGACTAAAAAACTACTCAAAGATTATAGAGTATTAAATTATAATGGCTATTGCCAAAGACAAGAAGACTAAAAAGTCTTGAAATAAGACTACAGATTAAAAATGCATTGATAAGAATAAAGAAAGCTTCACTCTTGCTTCCATATATGCTTTCTAACTAGGAGTTATATGGCGATCTTCTATAGGATCTCCAACATGTGTTGACTTTTTTAGACATATGTCTTAACTTGCAAGGCAAGTTATCTATATAAGCACCACATAGTTAGTTTCTTCTACAAACTACCAACATGTATGATACGTAGTTAATTTGTTGACCAAATTTCTAATCTACAAATCAATTACAAACACATGTGAAGTCAAATTGCATCTATGAAGCTTCTAGGAAGCTTTTCAAGAAGATATTATGAAATTAATCTATATTTATCTATTTCTACTTAATCATATAAGTAACTATTAGAATAAATGTGTATGTTTGTGACATTATCTCACCTTCTAGAGATAAGTTCTATAAAGAGAGATCATTATTTTTCATAGATCTTACTTTTCTTCATCTTGATTTTAATGGATGTCATTGATAAAAAGTCTCAACTTTCTTTATTGTATTTGCTAGATTCTATGTTGGCTTCTATGTAATTTTACTAATATCATATTTGCACTAATGAATAAGATATTCCAATCTATTTTCATGATGCTTTAAATCTAAGACTTCTTCTACTTCAAATTCTTGCTTATTATCTACTTTTATAGGAGGATGTGGCATTTGTCTTCTTTTCGAGATATTCATTGTCTAATATGGCTCAAAAAGAGACATGTGGAATATAGAATAGATCTTCATATACTTTAGTAGATGTAATCAATAAGCAACAAGATTGACTTGTTCACATATAAGAAAAGGTATAAGCATATTATAGCCTAACTCGTTACAAAGACGAGTAGTCTTGATATTACAACAAAGTAATAATATCTTTTCACTACATTGGATTGTAGTTGTTTCTTGTAATAAGCATCTCCATTCATCTTTAGTCGATCTTGAACTCCCTTTAATTATGTCTTCATAATTGTATATAGCTCTAATAAAAAATTAGTCAAATCTTTTGTTATACAATTATGAACTTTTGAAAAGTCAAATGTATTAAGAAATAGATGATAACCACAATTGATAAAGAAAGATGTTTATTGAGTAGAAAAATATATCAAATTATTTTATACAAATTTTACCAATGGCAAAAGAATTGTCCAATCATCTTCATAATAGTTGATGGTAAACCTTAAATACTTCTCCAAAACTTGATTCATTATTTTTATTTGTCCATCAATTTGATGATCAAAAGTCAAAGAGAGCTTTATATTTATCTTTATAATCTTGAAAAGAATTATCTAAAATCTTAATACAAATTGAATCCTTCTATCTAATATAATATCTTTGGACAATGCATAATAGTGATAGATATTGTCAAGAAAAAACTTAGTCGTTTCTTTACTTGTGATAGATTTTACACATAATACAAAATATGCCATTTTGGTAAAATAATCTACTATTATGAATATAGAATCATATGAACCTAAGACTAAAAGATCTATGATAAAATTCATGGAAATAAAAGACCATGGTTGTTTTGAAATAAGTAATGTTTATAAAATACATGTTCTTCTATATTTTAAGAGTAGATTAGAATATTGTTTAAATAACAAATAACAAAATCATCAAGAAACTCACAAAAAGAATCATTTATGATATGTTAAAAAGTAATTGGTGCATTTGTAAATCCAAAATATATGACATTATATTTGAAATGTCCATATCTAGTTTAGAAAGCAATCTTTTATTCATTTCTTTCTTTGATATAGAACAAGTTGTATGCTTTTTATTAATCTATTTTTATATAGATCTTTATTTGATTGAGTTGATCAAGAAGTCTTGATGTCTATTCTTAATGGTGATCTTATTGTGTCTCCAATAGCCTATGCACATCTATAGAGATCTATCATTTTTCTTCATAAATAAGATAAGAACTCATGCTAGAGATTTTGAATGGTGTATGAAGTTTTTAGCCAAATTCTTCTCCATATATTCATTTTCCAATTAGCTATAGATTAGTCCAAATGGTAGTTTAGTTCTTTTTTACAAATCAATTGAACAATCATAGGATTAATATTTTAGAAGAATATTTATATATTTTTTTAAAAAATATCCTGAAAATCCTAATATTAGCTAAAGATATCACTTGATGTCTTTCTACCATTAGAAATAGAAGTGACATATTTAGCAAAAATGATCCTTCTTTTGTCATAGTAATAAAAAAGAATTCATCCAATAGTAAAGGTTTGGATATATTTGATATATATATTTTTACTTAACTAAAAAATTTTTGAATCAAACCGTAAGAAAAATTAAGATTACTAGAAATTCAATTAACTTGAAGATTATACTTTTCTGAGCATGATAATTCTAAAATAATCGGATTGGGTGGAGATCTTATTATATTAAATATCATTACGCTATTATGAACTTTAATTGCTACATTTGAAGGAATAATCTAATCAATAATATCTCCAAAAGATAACAAAAAATCATTTATAATCTCTACATATATGAATTTATTTTTCTTGATTAACAATATATCTTATTATCTGAAAAACAATTGTCTATAAAACAAGTTGAAACTTGTGAATCTAAGAAGGCTAAGATTTTGTGATTTTTTTATTCTAAAATAAATTTCTATTGTGAAACAAGATGAAGGATTTGAAGAGAGAAAAAGACTTTTATTAGGTATTATGCAAGATTTTATTTGCACGATTCCTATTATAACAAGAAAAACTTGTTGTTCAATACATGGTCTTCTTTGGAAACCATGCTCCTCATTTTGTGATTATGTTACTTCTTTAGACAATGTTGAGCATTGTGCTTGGATTTTCTATAATATAAGCAGAAATCTTCTTGACAACAACAAGTCTTTTTTTTCTCAACAAGAGATTTAAAATGTACTGTGTCGATTTGTACAAGCTCTAGCTTAAACAAATAAGCTTCTAAAAACTTAGAAGGTGTTGCTATGGCTTGACTTGTACTTCTCCAAGAAAATCTTTGTTTTTAGCATCTTTTAAAGAATCAATTTTCACATGCAATGGCTTAAGTAATAAATTACTTAAGTAAATTTTTTCTTGGCATTGCTACTAATAAATCTTTAATAATATCTTTTAACACATATCAAAACTGATTGATAAAGTCTTTTTCATTCCAATCCTTGTTGCAAGCAAGATTTTGGAATTCAACTACATATGTAGTGGCTAAACATGATCTTTATTATAGCAATATATGCTTAATTTGTATTATCCTTTTTTGATCATTTTCTCCAAATGCAGCCACAAATACTTCTAAAAATGAATTCAAATCATAAAATAGTTATGAATCTTTTTCCATCAAAGATGCAAACTAAAATAGAGTACTCTCTAATAAAAATTCACATATGAAACCTACTTGAATAAAATCCATTGAGATATTCAAAAAGATGTAATCTTAAATAGACCTAAATTTGTTGCAAAAATCTTTGAAATTTTGATCTTGTTCTATCAAACTACTTGGGTATACTAATCCTTGCCTCTCTTGTACTTATAGAAGCAAGACTTTTTGAATTTGGTTGAGAGACTAATCTACTTGCTTCTTTCAACAACACAACTTCTTTGCACAAACTTTGGACTTCTTCTATATATATATATATATATATATATATATAAGAATAGTACCTCCATGATTCATATTAGAAATATATGAGATTTCTATTCTTAGAGTGTTGACAAGCTCATGAAGATCTGTAATGGTTACAAATCTATTTTTACTTCCATTGAGAGTAGGATCTATAGTCATTTCTCATGTAAACAACTCAAACAAATTCAAAAAGTTAAATTTGAAGAGGGTAATTTGCAACCTTAAATATCCAATGAAAATTTCCACAAAGAGAAAAAATCTAATCTCTTTAAGGAAAAAATTAGTGTTAGAAAATTAAACTATTTGTTTAAAAATGGGTAGTTTGTAACTTTTAAAATACAACAATAGAAGTAAATAATTCATTCACTTCTAAAATAAGATAAAAATAATAAGTTAGCACTTTTGTTAAGTTGTCATAGACATGACCCTCAAAAAATTAAAAGGTCAATACACTCTTATGTCACTCAAAAAGACTAAAAAACACTCAAAAATTAT